TGTTAGGATATTACATTAGTCACAATGAACCAATATTGACATGCCATTTTTAACTAAATCCGATCTTTCTTCAGATTCCCTTAGTTTTTCTCCAATGTCCTTTTTTGTGGTTCCAGGATCTCATCTAGGGTATTCCATTATTAGTTGTCACTCCCCCTTCAGGCTCATCTTGGTTGTGACAATTTCTCAGGTTTTCCTTATTTTTGATAACCTTGATACTGGTGAGGAGTTCTGGCTGGATATTTTGTAGAATGTTCCTCAGTTGGGATTTGTCTGATGGCTTTCTCAGGATTAGACTTGGATTATGGATTTTAGAAAGAAAGACTGTAGAGATGAAGCACCATGCTTATCACATCAATATTAAGATTATCAACATGCTCGTTACTTCTGATATTGACCTTGGTCGCCTGGCGAAGTTATGAAGTTATGCCGCCCCCTTCTCCCCGCAAACACATACTGTGATCTGTGGAAGGAAGTCACTATAGACAGCCCACACTTAAGGCCTGGGGAGTTATGCTCCCCCTCCCTGAAGGCAGAGTATCTACACAAAATTATTTGGAGTTTGTCTGCCTGGGCGATTTATCTATTCTCCCCCATTTACCTATTTATTCAATTATTTACTCATATCAATATGGACTCATGGATCTTTATTGTATACTTTTGGTTATAATACAGTAATACTTCATTTCTTTTGCTGCTCAGATTGTTTCAGCTTTGACCATTGGGAGCTCTTTCATGTGGTCCTATGTAGTTTTGTGCTCCCCATCACTTCCTTATTCCCTGGCACTATAAGATGTTCCTAGATCCTCTTGTATGGCTCCTACCCCAATTCTAGAACCAACGACTTCTCTAAGATGACCAAGTCCTTTTGATTGAAGAATGATATTAAGAACCAAGATCAGGGCACTAGGTGAGCTTGTTGCTACTGGAATGTCTCGGTGGACAGCACAGATGTGTGTGTACTAACCCATGTATGTACACATATTTATAAATATTTCCGTATGTGACTATCTGTATCTGTATTAAGTTAAATACGAGTCCCCACTAATGTCTTCAACTCTAATTCATGGCCACATGGATCATTCTACCCATCTCCTTTTGTTTATCTGTAAACATCTATAAGAAACCTGGCTCCCACCATTTGCCATATATTTAATTATTCAATTTCAGTATATATGCATGAATTGTCAATCATCCGCTTTTTAAATATGAATTCATTTTAATTGTTACCAAACTACTGTGGACGAAAGGGGCCACATGCTAACCTGACAAGTTCAGGGAAGTGCATGGCGGTCTTGCAAACTCAGAGACCTAAAGTAACCACAAAGGATGGTCTGAAATGAAACTTTAACTAAAAGCAGTTATGGTGGGCAGTTACGTTCTAGGCCAGTAGTCTTCACTGACAAGGTCAATCTTTACCTCAACCTAGTCCATCTGTCTTTTTGCATCTATAATAGCATACACTTTGGAATGTCTGGGTAACTTGTAACTTGTAACTTGTAACTTCCCTTTTTCTGGACCCCTTATGTACTGGGCACCAGGACAGATAACCACAAATTCCTTCATTATCATGTTAATGGTTCCTGATGTGTCTATCTTTTACTTTTTATCCAATCCCAGGGGGTTCCCAGCTTTGCTTTCCCCCACCTCTCTAGTCTATCACCAATGGATTTTGTGTGACCACCTATGTCCCTTCCTTTGATTGCAATGTATAAATACAGATGTAACCCGCCATTCTCCGGAGCTTTATCTCAATTAGTTGAGGTTCTGCTTCCCAGCATATGTCAACAGTTGGGCTCAAATAAACTCACAAAAATTCTTTACAGGTTTCAAAGGTTTTTTACGTTAACACTGCTTAGTACACGTGTCCAGGATGCCATATAGGACTTTCTGTCATCTGGTGCTTACAGTTCCTGCTCTGTGCCCAGCCTTTAATTCTCCAAACTAAAATGCAAATCCTCACATCCACTTCCTCTCAGGCTCTGGGCTGGTTGTCTTCCTTCTGAAGGTCCACTGACAAAAAATGCATCCCTCTCAAGCTCTCCTTGAGTGACCAACTCCGATTCTACCAAAAATCTATGCCCTAAATGCTCGCCTAGGCATTGCAAAAAGCAGGGCTTGCCTTTGCTGGGAGAGAGGAGCGTGTCCTTACATTCTTTCTCACTGTAGGCAAAGTTCTCAAAAGCTGCTTTGGCTTCAGGGAGAGATAGAAGTATCCCTTAAATGGAGTGTTCCCATATCACCACACACCACACTGCCCAAGAAAACACTGCTATAAATAGCGCCTGCTCTCCTCACAGGCCACCGCAGCCCACTCGGCCCCGATGGGATGGAGACATGGTGGAGGGAGGAAAAGGCAGAAAAACACATCAAAGGAGAAGGGGACGGGAAGAAAGACAAAGGGATATAATAATAACATTTATAATTAATGAATCATGAACATTTGCAAAGAACTCCCCCATGGTCTCATTTATTTCACAAAGTATAAAAGCTTGAAAAAGTACATATTTAGTTCATTTAAACTATCTTATGGGTTAAATTGGCTTTTGCAGGTTTTGGATTCAGGGGTAGGTACATTGACACACGCTGGGCGCACGGGAGCTGGCCAGGGGCTGTTGCTAGAACTGATGGAAAAGGAGCACATGGCCCTTGCGTTGGGATTGTAGAGTAAGTGTGGGTGGCTGTTCAACATACTTGGTCATTGGTTTGCTTCATTGTTTGTTTGTATGCAAAGAGGAACTGAAGGAAGTGCCCCCAAATGAATGTTAACATCAATTAATTTTATTTTTATTTATTTTTAAAAAATATATATTTTATTGATATTTTACAGAGAGGAAGGGAGAGAGATAGAGTGGTAGAAACGTCGATGAGAGAGAAACATTGACCAGCTTCCTCCTGCACACCCCCTACCGGGGATGTGCCCGCAACCAAGGTACATGCCCTTGACCGGAATGGAACTTGGGACCTTTCAGTCCGCAGACCGACACTCTACCACTGAGCCAAACCAGTTTCAGCAACATCAATTAATTTTAGGTGGTAGGATTATTGGTAATTATTTACAGTTTTTACGCATTTATGTATTATATAGGCTGTCCCCCCAAAGTGTATATACTCTTTAATATTTGGTAGCTCAATTTTGAAAGTCAACTATATTTTAATAGTATATGCATTTTCTCTATAGTAGGGTATTACTTTCATACTAACAGATTTCTGTCATAAATTATCACTTTTAATTGCTTTATAATATGTTTATGTTATAAAGTAATATAAATATATTGTACTATATTTATATATTTATACTATACTAGAGGCCTGGTGCATGGATTCGTGCACTGGTGGGGTCCCTCAGCCTGGTCTGAGGGGATCAGGCCAAAACTGGCAGTTCAATATCCCCCGAGGGGTCCCGGATTGGCAAGGGTGCAGGCCAGGCTGAGGGACTCCACTGGTGCACTGGGCCTCTACTATGCATATAAGATCTTTGGTTAATCTCCTATCTCCCCCCTCCCTCCTTCCCTCTTAGATTCATCAGTCTATTCTGTTTCCATGCCTGTGTGTTGGGCACCTGTCTCCCAGTGGTCAATGTTCATCATAGCTACCGGTCTTGTAGGATTTTATATATATACTAGAGGCCTGGTGAACAAAATTCATGCACTGGGGAGGGGGATGTCCCTTAGCCCAGCCTGCGCCCTCTCACAGTCCAGGACCGCTTGCTCCTTACCACCTGCCTGCTTGCTGCTCCTTACCGCTTTGCTCGCTGCTCTTTAGCGCTGCCTCAGAGGTGGAAGAGGCTCCTGCCATTGCTGCTGTGCTCTCCAGCCATGAGCCTGGCTTCTGGCTGAGCAGTGCTCCCCCTATAGGAGCACACTGACCACTAGGGGTAGCTCCTGCGTTGAGCGTCTGCCCCCTAGTGGTCAGTGCACGTCATAGCGACCAGTCGTTCCGCCGTGATGGTCGCGTAGGCTTTTATTATATAGATATAGATAAATACTAGATTAGTGTAATTTTTACATCACTATAAGGCAGAAGTGCTTTAACCCCCACATGCCTTATTTTTTTTTTTTTAATACTTTTGTTGATTTCAGAGAGAAAGAAAGAGGGATAGAGAGATAGAAACATCAATGACGAGAGGCAATCACTGATTGGCTGCCTCCTGCACACCCTACATTGGGGACTGAACCTGCAACCCAGGCATGTGCCCTGGCCCGGAATCAAACTCTGAGCTCCTGGTTCGTAGGTTGATGCTCAACGGCTGAGCCACGCTGGTCAGCCTCCCATGCCTTTTATCTGAAACCCATCTCCTATGCTTGGCAGGGCATGAATCCTTAATCCCAGAATAATCCAGTTTCCTAGAATAACATTTTCAAAATAAAATATTTTATCTTTTCAAAGTAAAGTATGTAAAAAAATAAAAAATAAAAATCCAAAGCCAGCCATTTAGGAACTGAGAGGTGCTTCTGGTTTTGTTCATATCCCACCAGACCTCAGGCCTCCTCACAGAGCAGAGTGGAGAGCGGGCGGGGCTCTGGCCTCATGCCCGGTGCTCTAACCCAGGGGAGGGGGGTGTGTCCGCTGTGCCTGACCCTGAGGTCTTCTGGAAGGAACTCAGTGGGTTGGGACTGGCTTCAATGCCTTAGGTAGCCCTGCCAGAGAGAGGAACAGACCATAACCCAACACGGAGGAACAGCCCAGCCCTTTCTTGACTGCCGCCTGCCATGTTTGTGGGGACTCCTGGGGATTGCACAGACTGGGATGTTCCTCCCTGCCCGCCACCAGCTCCATCCTGCCCTCTCCCACTGCAAGACACAGCACAGCTAAGGCCAGCCGGTCCCGTTTAACGAAACTCCCCAGGAACTCCAAGAGCTGCCATTCATTCCGAGAGGAAAGCACTTTGTACAATTGCAGCCGGAGCCCGGAGCTTCACTTTGCTCTGCATCGCACTCTTTTCCAGAACGGGTTTCAGGCTTATCCCTGCACAACCCGAAGACCTATTAAAATATCCCCCTAAAAACAAAAGGGATTTCCCACAAGAGCAATTTGCTCCCACCTCCACAGGAAATAGAGGAACCGGGAGAAAGCGCCAAACCCATGCAGTTTAGAAGAGCAGCTTGTCCCTTTCCTCGCCATTGCGGTCTTCAAACAGCAGGGACGGCTTTCTGCACACTCCGGCATCCACCTGCTCGGAAAGGAGCTTGAGCCTGAAAGGAGGGCTGGGGCTTGGCTGGCCCAGGACCAGGGGAGAGACCCAGGAATAGGGAGGGAGGTCAGTGGAACTTAAAAAAAAAAAAAATATATATATATATATATATATATATATATATATATATATATATATATACATACATATATATATACATATATATATATATATATTATTGAATTTTTACAGAGAGGAAGAGAGAGGGACAGAGAGTTAGAAACATTGATGACAGAGAGACATTGACCAGCTGCCTTCTGCACACCCTTCACTGGGGAGGCGCCCGCAACCAATGTACATGCCCCTGACCAGAATCGAACCCAGGACCTTTCAGTCCATAGGCCGATGCTCTATCCACTGAGCCAAACCGATTTCGGCTGGACACAGAACTTTACATCTTGCAGGGCAGAGAGGGACAGGTATCAGCCAGCCTGGGATCCTGGGCAGTTCTAACCTCTGAGGGTTCAGGATTCCATCTTGAAAGGAGGCCCCTGGAGTGAGGGGATGGCGCTCAGGGTCAGTGAGGCAAGGGGCTCGCTCCCCAGGTGTATGGCTCGTTTCCACAGGCTTCTTCCGGGATTGCATCACTGCGTGCCTGCCAGGACTCAGCCTCCCTCCCCCACAGGCGCCTACCCCCGCCTCCTCCCCCGCCCCACCTCCTCAGAGTGAGATAACACACCCTTTTGTTCTCCCTGTGACTCCATACCCAATGGGAGAGGGAATGAGGAAACTTTTCGAGAAAGTGCCACCGATCTGATGAAGGTAGGAGGTACCAGCTGCCCCCGTGTGCCTCTTGCCTTCCAGGGCCCCGCCCAGTGCAGGAGGCCCCTCTGGGCTTGGCTTCCTGGCAGCCGCCGCTGGGGCACTTGGGGTGCTGAGGAGGCTGCTTGCTGTGTAAGCATGGACCGTTTCTGCTGGGTTTGTGGGAATCGGAGTTGCAGTAAGCGGATGCTTCTGTCACCGTGGACGTTCCCTGGCCCACGGTGACGTCTCCCCGTCTCCCCGAACCAGGGTCCAATACCGTGGCTTTGCATATTACACACAGCACCGGGACCACACTCCCCAGGCAGTTTTACAGCTGATTGGTTTATTTTACACGTTAGTCCTGTGGGTGGTTATTCTAGTTACCGTCATAAGATGAGGAGACTAAGATAATGAGAGCTTAAGGAACATTATGTTCAGGGTCACAGTACATGGGTGGCAAAGCTGTGTGTGTGTGTGTGTGCTCATAAATCTTCATCTTTTAGATTCATTAGGGGTTTCCCAAGGAATCTTCCAGGGAGGAGGTGGGACTCTTTCAGAGGCTCCCCACCAGACCTACAATCAGGTCCAAAGTTCTTATCATGGCATCCAGGATTTTGCAGAATCTTTTATTTTTTATTTTATTTTGTGGAATCTTGCCTCTGCCTTCCTTGCCCACCCCCTCTTCTGCTATTGGTCCCCAGGCCCACTGAGCTCTAGCTGCTGAGGGCTGCGACCATTGCCCTGACCTTGTTATGCGTGTCCACACCTGTGATCACTTAGAACATGCTGTGTTCTCTGCCTGAGTGCCCCCCTGCCGTCTCTCTTAAAGAACTCCTATTCATCCTTCAAGACCCTAACCCCTGTGGTCGGCAAACTGCGGCTCTAGAGCCACATGCAGCTCTTTGGCCCCTTGAGTGTGGCTCTTCCACAAAATACCACGGCCTGGGTGAGTCTATTTTGAAGAAGTGGCGTTAGAAGAAGTTTAAGTTTAAAAAATTTGGCTCTCAAAAGAAATTTCAGTCGTTGTACTGTTGATATTTGGCTCTGTTGACTAATGAGTTGGCAGACCACTGCCCCAACCCAAAAGCCAGATGCCACGTCACAGCCTTGCACGACTCCCCAGCGTTGGTTGCTCTGTGCTCCAAGGCACAGGGTTCCTTCCCTGGCTCAGCACCCAGCAGGGTAATTATCAGGATTTGCATGCTTACCTTCCTCCTTGTTGCTCCTGCAGGGCCGGGCCTGTGCCATTCACCTTTGTAAACCCGGCCAGGCCCTAACGATTCCTCAGGCAACACTTGTGTAAGAATGAACACCGTTTCTGCTGGGCTTGCGGGATTTTGAGCAGCAGTAAGAGAATACCACTGTCACTGTAGACATTTTCTGGCCCACCATGATGTCTTCCCAGACGAGGGTCCTATGTCTGTGGGCTTGTGTATTACACAGCACCAGTGCCACACTCCCCAGGTAGTTTTACATCTGATTGGTTTATTTTACATGTTAGCCCTGTGGGTGGTTACTATAGTTACCATCATAAGATGAGGAGACTAAGATAACTAGAGATTAAGGAACATTATGTTCAGGGTCACAGTACATGCACAGCAAAACTGGGAGACTCACGACCTCTGCCTACATCAGAGTTTCTCAATAAGTAGTTTTTATTTAATTAATTAAATTTTAAAAGTATATATTTATTGATTTCAGAGAGGAAGGAAGAGGTAGAAGGAGATAGAAACATCTGTGATGAGAGAGAATCATGGATCTGCTGCCTCCTGCAAGTCCCCCACTGCGGATCTAGCCCTCAACCCAGGCATGTGCCCTTGACCGGAGTCGAACCTGGGACCCTTCAGTTTGCAGGCCAATGCTCTGTCCACTGAGCCAAACCGGCTAGGGCAATAAGTAGTTTTGAAATGAGCAGATCAGCATCACCTGCGAATGGTTAGAAATGCAAATTATTGGGCCCCGCCTCACGTCCATTGAATCAGAACTTCTTAGGGTCTTAGGCCCAATAATCAGTTCCAGCCCTGCAGGTGGTTCTGTTACACTAAGTCAGTGTTTTTCAACCTTTTTTGGGCAAAGGCACACTTGTTTCATGAAAAAAATCACGAGGCACACCACCATTAGAAAATGTTAAAAAATTTAACTCTGTGCCTATATTGACTATATATAAAGTAATTCTCTTGAATAGGAATCAAATAAACACAAAGAAAGTATTTTATAATTACTTTATTATGAAATATTAAGTAAACAAAATAGTGAAAAATTATAAAATTCTTGTCTTGTCTGCACCTACGGCACACCAGGCAACATCTCGTGTGCCGCGGAACAGCGGTTGAAAAACGCTGCACTAAATTCCACAGCCCTGGCCTGTAGCCCAACTCCTCCAGTGGCTGCCAAGAGCCAGAGGAGGGCGCTCCAAGGCAAACTTTCACCCTAGGACTGTCAGCAGCTGGGCCGGGAACCTGGCAGGGAGGGTAGAAGGGAAGAAACACATGGGCTGGGGGTTTGGAGCCACCTGATTCAATTATTCTCTGAGGATTTGGAGCACCTCTCTGGGCCTCACTTTATTCATCTGTAAAATGAGGGTGTTGACCAAATGCTCTCATCTCTAATTTCCCTTTACGTTCTGTTAATTATCCGTCCTTCTTTGGAGTAGTATGTGGTCTAATCCAGGGATGGAATGAAGACAGAGGGCATTTATTTTTCATGGATTTTTCCCATACTTGGAAACTAGTAGTTCCGGTTCTAAATCCTTGCACCCACTATCTGAAGCGTTGTCCTACTGGTTTCATGTGGACCCAGGCTCTCCCTGGAGCACCCAGTGGTGGGTGGGGCTGTGCCCATGAGGTACCCGGTGGGGCTCAGCATCTAACTGGCAGCTGGGAAATCTCCTGGAGACATAAGACTGAAGAGAAGGAAGAACCTTTCTTGTCCCTTTTGAGATGATTATGAAAATTCGAGGCAAGTAATTGCATTGTTAAGGCAGAGCCCTGAATCAGAAAGGTGAGAGGAAGAATTTGAATCACTCAGGACCCGGTGTCAGCGGGAGCAGACGGCTGAGTTCTCAAGCCTGGAGGGGCTGTGGGAACGTGAGTAGTTTTTGGAATAGTTGGTCAACGAATACTCAAAACCACAAGAGCCAGATAAACAGCCGAGGGTCCGTCACATCGGTATCATACCCAGGGGAGACTTTCAGTCTCCAGAGCCCAGGAAAAGATGAGAACATGCAGGACATCGGCGCCACCGGTGGCCCTTAGGTTCACAGACAAAGAAGGTGGGTGTGAAGCAAGGCCCCAGGAAGAGCAGAGCCACTGTCAGCGGAAGCCCGCCGAGGCTGCGCCTCTCAGCTGCAGTGGGCAGGGACGCTGGCTGCCTCCTAGACTGAGCATCAGTGGAATTACATACACATCAGTAACACGTGTGCATTCCAAACCCATCAAAGTGTATACATGAAACATCTCCAGCTTGTTGTATGTCAATCATACTTCAATAAAATGTTTTTTTTTAAGAATATGTGTGTGAATTTGCCTGCAGTTATAGCTTCTAATATACCCTTCAAATCAACAACACATTGTCAATAGTTGTTATTGCAACAGGTACCTTGGATCAGTGTAAACTCCTTTAAAAAAAATATTTTATTGATTTTTTTACAGAGAGGAAGGGAGAAACATCAATCGGTTGCCTCTTGCACGCCCCCTACTGGGAATGTGCCCACAACCAAGTTACATGCCCCTGATCGGAATCGAACCTGGGACCCTTCAGTCCATAGGCTGATGCTCTATCCACTGAGCCAAACTGGTTTCGGCCACGTAAACACCTTTTTTTTTTTTTTTTTTAAATATATATTTTATTGGTTTTTCACAGAGAGGAAGAGAGAGGGATAGAGAGAAATATCAATGAGAGAGAATCATCAATCAGCCGCCTCCTGCACACCCCCCACTGGGGATGTGCCCGCAACCACGGTACATGCCCTTGACCAGAATCGAACCCGGGACCCCTCAGTCCGCAGGCCGACGCTCTATCCACTGAGCCAAACCGGTCCTGGCAGTAAACACCTTTTAATGGCTACTGTACTAGATCATACTTTGCCCATCGGAGCCTCCCAACAGTGGGCCTGGTAGTTGAGTTAACTTGGGATCTGTGGACCTGCCTCATTGGCCCTGAGACTTCCCAGGAACCAGGGGACTTGAGGAGTTGGGAAGACCCAGACATAGGTTAGAGATACTGGACCTGGGTCCCTCTCCTCTGCCACAGTTTGCTCCTGTCCTGGCTCAGTTTGAAATTGGCTCACTTGCCTGCAAGACTTGGCTTACAGGATTCTTCTATATATGTTCAGAATGGATTTCAGTTTCACTCCTCAGACTCTCCTAAGCATCCTGCTCTCCAGCTTATATGACTTCACAGACCGCTGAGCACTCGTTTCCAGGGCTGTCTTCCATCCAAAGATTGGACAAGTCTGAACACTGTGGTCCTTTAGCTGTGCCTGAGGTGGTGCAGGGGAGATGTGGGCTGTAGTCTGAACAACCTGATGCAATCTAGCTGTGGGCCCTTTGGCAAGTCATTTTGCTACTCTGGGCCTCGGTTTTATTACCTGTAAAATGGGAATGTTGCTTCAGATGCCCTCTGAGGTCTCCTAGCCCTCTCATTCTGAGGCTCTGGAGTCTACCTTGGCCAAAACAGAAGGCTCAGGGGTCCTGTCCATTGCTGCACACGTGCCCAGGTAGGAGGTAGATTGGAGGACATGCAGTGTCATCACAGTGGGGAGGGGAGGACTTTGAGTCAGATGAGCACTTGCCTTTCATGGACTTGGATTTGAGGAGCACCTGTTGGGTGGGTCCTGGCTGGAAACGGCGAGACAACTCCTCCAGACTTCCCCCTGCCTGAAGGGTTGCCTCACAGGCTATTACTTAACTCTCCTTAACCACTTTCCAGGGCGGGGCAGGGAAGGGCAGATGGGTAGCAGCTGATGCAATAGGTATTTGCAAGCCTGTGTTGTTCTTCGAGGACTAAGCATAGGTCAGCTGGCTGGGTCAGCCGGGCTGCAGCTGCAAGGCCCTGCTCTTTGCAGAGTTTCAGCTTTCTCTCTTCTCCCTGACTTGTCCTTATTGTTACTTAAATGGGGTCCACTCTCTTGTCATCAGAGGCAGGGATTAATAGTTTGTGTTAGAATGAACCCACATCCATTTACTTGTGGTGCTCTTTACCTGAAAAGAATATCCTCGACTGATAAGAATGCATGTGTGCACAGGTGTATACACACACACACACACACACACACACACAGACACACACACACACACAT